ACCAATGTCTGTGGACAGTACATAAAGGTGACCAATGTCTGTGGCCAGTACATAAGGTGACCAGTTGGACGACTGTATCACAGCTTCTGGTGTTTTAAGTTCTTTCAGTCAATAAACAGTTTTCCATAACAACTTGGGATAAATGTTGACCTTGAACAACCTCAAAACTTCAATTAATGTTTTTATTTTCCCTCAATTTGCTGGTCATCCCACCTTTTGAGGGAGGGGATAGCCTGGGTAATTTTTTTTGGACAGGTCGACATTACAACTCTTCAGCTTAATAACAATAATATACAAATAATGAATTTCAGAAGGACCACATTTTTGCAATGTATTTGATAGGACAATGGCACTCTGTTGAGTGTTTTGACTGAATATCCGTCAAATAAGCTACATTACCCCAATCATTTATCAGATTCTTTCAACTACTTTTATTTCTTCACAGTTTCCTTGGCCTGTTTCTTCTTCAACCCCATCAGTACAATTTGTCAGCCTCTCTGTGTCACACACAATATCCTCCTCTTGACTACATTCCTCGTTTTCAGCCTCACCTTTTGGTTGGCCTGTTTCCTTGGGCTCACCGACAGGCTCAGACACTTCAGTCTGGGGCTTAGGTAGGGGTTTGACTGAAATGTTGAAGAAGCTCTTCAGGGTTTTGACGCCGGGTTTCTGTGCCGGAGGAAGGGCTGCAGATTCGTCTTGAGACTTTGCAGAAGAAGTTGATGATTTATCAAGATCGCTACTGTGAGCAGACGATGGTGATTCCACGTTTGTAGCTTTGGATTCTAGTTTGGTGATGATTTCAGGAGTGGACAATGGCTGTTTAATGGCTTGGCTAGACAGCATGGCCTTGATGTCATTGGGACTTGTCCGCGGCACTTTGATAACTTGACCCGTAGCAGCTTGGTTTATCTGGGACATTGACAGTCCGACTGCAGGTGAGATGGGTACCATCTCCACTTTGGGCAGCATGTTTAAGTAATGCATCTGGCTTGAGGATGGGATGGGGTTGAACATGTGGGCGGGAGATGCAGGTAGGGTGGTGGGCGGGGCCTGGACATGCTGCATGGGCACCGTCGCAGATAGCCTCTGCATGATTTCACAGGCGGACATGCCGTTGGCAGCTTGCAGCTGAAAGGGTAAGGCCACACCGCCAGGCTGGGGCATGGAAGGTTGTAGGTTGACACCTGTCGGCAAGTTAGATCCTGCTACGGCGAATCTCACTGGCATACTTCCCAGCAATCCATTTGCTGAAGTTATTCCAGATGAGTGCAGCATTTGTGTTGAAGATTTCAATACATTTAGGGGAGGCATGGGCTGGTGCACGCCTCCATGCAACAACTGGTTTTCCTGAACATTAGTCAGCAAACTTCCTTGTGTTGGTGTCAAGTAACCGCTGGGAGTCTGGGTTCCATACCCTGGCAGTGAGTGGCCAATGAGGGGGCTCTCCGCACGTTGTGCCTTGGGTGGCTTAGTAATGCTCTGCCACTGGCTAGGGATGGTCAGGTCCTGTAAGTTATACTTCTCCAGCAGATGCTGGTGAACGTACCAGCAGGTGCGAGGGAACACAGGCCGCCGCTCACGCACTGCGATTGCACCGATGGTGATCAACAGCTGGCGTTTGGAGATGGAGCATTCCACAGCGTCGCTGGTAGGGTTAGCTGGGGATGACTGGGTAACACTACTAATTTCAGGAGTCCATTCCTTGCTGCGGGGCGTGGAATCCTTGATGGGTGTCTCTACACCGTCCAGAGGCACAGTGACTGAGCTGGCATCATTCACAACAGATGTTTGCTGGACATTGTTACTTGTTACTCCGAGAAGAGGTGAATTGGTCCCTTGAGCTACGTCTGGAGAGCTCTTCACCGATTGGCCAGCTTCGGTTATCACAGAGGGCGTCTCTGGTCTCGGACTGGCATGACCAGGTCTCTTACTCAGCTCCTTTAGCCGCCAGTACTCTCGAAATTCCCGCTGTAGTGTCTTGATACCAGCAGTGTTGCCATGGACGAGGCGGATCAGGTCAGGCATAGCTAGGAGGAAAACATCAAGGAATGAGCAAATGACTCTGGAGATTAATGTCCGAAGACAGACACTTTCAATCAAAAATCACTGTCAGTTAAGTATTGTAAGCCCCTTCAAACAGTCACATATAAATGTGGATCGGATTTTGAAATGGAAGAAAATACTTGGCAAGAATTAAAAAATTGAAGAATCTTTTGGAGAACTCAGAACCATGCCTCAAGTGTTGAATCTGCACAAAGATGGAAGTACAGGAGAGACTTGAATATCAAGACTGTGCTTTCAGGAACATAACTTGCTGTTAAAAAGGACTGAACTGACTTGCTGTTCTGAAGGGCTGTCTTAATCTTTAAGACAAAATACAATTATTTGAGAGGTCAAAGAATGGAAACTCACCTTCGGCCGGTACGGGTCTTTTCAGAGAGACACCTTCATTTCCTGACGCCTTGGGTTGTGCTGATGTCTTGGACGTCTCTTCCTTCGTGTGAGCCTCAGTGGATGCCTGAACCTCCTTCTTGGATCCGGTATCTATAGGAACGGTCGCCAAGGCGATGATCTTGTATGTATCCAGCGTTTTAGTGGTTGAAGGTGTGGAGTCATTAACCCAGACGCAGCCAATCAGGATGGGCTTGAGGACTCCCTGCTGCCGTTTGAGTTCTATCTCCCAGGACTTGGCCTTGGCAGCTCTTTTCTCTTTCCAGCTCTCAATTTCCTCCTGAGAATGATCAAACAATCCAACCTGTTTCAACAACTTACAATCTTTTGGTACAAGCACTCTGAGACTAGCAACCCGAGTCTGTCGTTTAAGCACGGGCCGTAATATATATGTTTATATGTAAGCCACAAACTTCACAGAGGCATCGGAGGCAATCACCTTGATGCCCCTGGTCTTTGCCTGGATGCCAACTGAAATGTCCCCATAGACAAGTTGATTTTCTAATGCAAGTGCCCCTTCAAGAACAAAGTTCCTGCTCATTATATGGCATATTACTTGACTCAGACTTGAACAAGTTTTCTGCCGGTGTTAGATTTGGAACTGTAACAACGAAACTGGTGACAAAATACACATACATTTGGGAAATGCATAGATTAACTTGAATGGTTTGTTTTAAGACAAGAAGTCGCTCTAACTTTTCTTCAGTAACAGTGCTACTGTATTTAAATAAATCTTGGAGTCACAAGAACAATGATGTTAGATTCAACCTGACAGGATTTGGAGGTATTGATGGAAATAATCAGTGCTTGGGTATCAGTTGGCCGCATTACCGACAACTTGAATGCCACAATTCAATGAGAACTATTTAGCTGAAACAAAATTGCAATCAGAGACCCAGTGCCAGAACTGACCTCATCTTCGCATCCTTCATCTTCGGAAAGATAGCCGTGAGGTACAAAGAAGCCATCGTCAGAATCCCCACCATCATCAACGTCTTCGCCATCATCCTCTCCCTAGAAACAAAGAAGTCACAGAATAACAGGGAACAGGGAGAGCTTAAGAGTGCCATCTTGGCAAAAGTAGCCCCGCCCAACCCTCCACTCTCGAGGTTTGAATCCCTCTGGGGCTAGCTCCTGCCTGCTCTTCTGCAGGTCAAACAGAGGGACCAGAAACCAGTCTAGCTTTGCCCACACTACCAGGATACAGAGCGCCATCTTTAGTTCATGCACTGAGCCAATATCCATGATTTTTTTTTCGGTTCTCACCTCTGAGTGTGACAAACTTTCACCGGGTTCCTCCCACTCCTCGTCACTGTCCACTTCGTAATCTAACATATCCTAGAATAAAATTGGGACAAAACTTAAAAACAAAGGAACATTTACAGGAACAAAGAAACCATAATGCCAACAGCTGATGAGCAACAGATGTACATAACAAAAGTGGTTTTATCCTGCAACAAAAATAACCCAACACTGGGGAAGTGAAATCATTTTCTAATTACCACCACAATCTTACAACCAACTTCAAGCTCACTGGGCCACACAGTCTTAGTAGCTGACTCAAAATCTGGCTACATAATTTGACAAGCACTTTAGTTTGAAAGCAACAAATGTAAGGTCTGATGATTGACACTGCAGCTTGTTTTTTTTTTATTCTTGGCAAATGAAGTCATTTGCCCAAAGCATCTTCCTCAAATATAATTTTGAATTCTGATGTAGGGATTTTACCCATCAACTGCTGACTTTGTATTATATGCTCCTCCTAAAGAAAGCAGGTGTTTGCGGTCACAGCAAAAGGGGATAAGATGGTGTGAATGGTAAATTCTTACTTCGTCTTTCTTGAGGTAGTTGCGAGGGTTGATCATTTCACTTTTCTTTCTCCAAGTGCCGTAGTACGGTGGTCGGTAGTTCTCGTGGAATTGAAGTAGCTTACATTTCATTCTGGTGAGCTTCTTGGCTGGTTCAGCGGGCATCTCTGATACCACTATCACGTCCTGTGATTCACTGGAAATACACCAAAGAACGCACTCTGATCAAACAATCCTTAGAATATTGCATGGACATCACTCGCTTTCATGAGTTAGGCAATCAGCAGTTGAGAAACTTCACTTTGAGATATTTTTTCTGAGAAAGACTTATCAAGAGTCGTGGTTTGATTTGATTTGCCAACATCAAACCCTGGTCGCTGACGGCTGTACTGATCTTGTTAGCCATTTTAGATGAGCTGGCAAGGGCTGGTTGGCCACACTGCTCATTTTCACAAGCCAGGACTGTAGGGGTTTCCACAGTACAAGAACGGTGTGCTAACAAGTCGAGCATCATTTCAGCTCACCCATCCTGCTGTGAGGTCCCAACTGATGGCATCGCTGTCTGCCTACTGCTCTCTGTCTCTTCACTCGCACTGTGTGGAGTCCGTCCAGTCCTTCCTGCTACGTAGGTCTCTCGTTTCAATTCATCCAGATACAGCAAGTTGGAATTCTGCACAGAACAAAAATGCACAGAAGCAGGTTGGGAACAACGTAAAACACTCCACATCAAGCAAGCACGTCTGACGCAGCAAAAGTGTTGCTTGAAGAAAAACAAAAACAGAAACTAAACAGAAAACAAGGGCTTTCAAAACTGGTCTCTTCTAGAAAACACTTGGCGCACTCCCTTCTCCCCCCTGTCTATAAGATGGCAGAGGTGTACCTGATTTTGACGGGCAGCATCAAATTCCTCCAAGGCGGTGGGTGGCTTGCAGCAACGAAGCAGGGGAGCCAGGACCATGTCTTCCTTGACTTGAAAGGGAGCGAACCAACCGCAGGATTTCTCCTGGGGTTTCTTGGCTGGCACGGCTGCCTCCTTGAAGAAACTCTTGAACATATTCTTCTGCTTTGCCTGCTTCTCACGCTGTTGGATTAAAAATAGGATTTCAATTTGTACAACTCTTTTCTACGCACAACATTGAAACACGTTCCAGCTGAGATCGACATGACATTGTTTTACACATCTGACATCTGTACAAAAATGTGCTTCAGAAAAATATTCTTTTATGCGGTACGAGGGACACGAAGCAGTCGCCAGCAAAAAAAATCACTTCAACGTTTTCATTTTAACACAAAAACCTTGAGAAACCTGCAGATGCTATGCAAATTCACCTGGGGAAATGGCATAGTTTTTTGTTTCTAACAAGGTGTAGCTTTTAAAAAGTCTTAACAGTCCAAGATCAATTGTCGAGAAGAGAAACTATTTCAAACCAATGCTAAATGAGATCAGCGTTTTATTAAACTGGCACAAGACCTTTTCCTCCTCCAATTTTTGTTTTTCCTCTTCAACTCGTTGCCGTTCCTCAGTCTTCTTGCGTTTCTCTTCCATCTTAGCACTAGAGTATTAAACAAAACACACATTAATTCTGGGTTGTGACACTTCAGAATGATGCACACACTTAAGAATCGGTGTTCTGGTCTAGACCTCTTAAGACCACCACAAGACCTCCAGGTTTTAACTCCAGTCGCAAGCTATTCCAATGAACTCAACAAAATCATTTCTCTGTCGCTGTTCAGCCTGTTTACTTGTCTTGTGACTGGCTGATTTGACTGGATCTTCTAACTGGTCTTGTATCTGGTCTTGACTACGACGCAGGTCATAATCTTCAAAGGTGGAAATCCATGAGATCCTTGTGTAGATGCCAGACACACGGCATTGAGAGCATCTATGTATCTGACTCATGAAGGTCTGAGGTAGCCCCATGTGACTAGCTCTTCTGGGAAGGTGTGTGGTTCTGCCAAGAACGAGTTCATGCGTCCTCGCATGCAGAGTAGGATCTAACTAATTTGCATTTTTGTGTCCTCTCTAGAGACTGACAAACAACTGCTGGGGCCTTTCCGCTTAGCACAGAGAATGTAACACTGAGCAGAAACAGGTTACAAGCAAAAAATAAATGCAGTATGCACCATGTGACTGGCTCCCCGCTGACTTCTACTCGCCACAGAAATTTGGCCTAGCAATGCTTTCTGCCAAGCAGCTATGTAAGATGGGACTCATGTTTCTGCCTGTTTCTAACAAACTCACTCTATTATCTCCTGCTTCTTCTTTCGTTCCTCTTCCTTGGCCATCCTTTTATCTTCTTTCTCTTTCTCTTCTTGCTCCTTCTTCAGTTGCTTCTCTTTCTGCTTGACGTCTTTCTCCGCCTGCTTCTGCCTCCTGACTTCTTCTCGTTCTTGCTCCTTTTTTCGCTTCAGCTCCAGCTTCAGTCGTTTCCTCTCAGCCTCCTCTTCCTCCAACTTGCGTTTCTTCTCCATGCGCAGTCTCATCTGAATGCCAACACATTTTTTCAATGCAGAGATAAATTGTCTACTTTTTTCAAGCATTCCCGAGTTATCACGCACGCACCTACATGTAGATAAAGCTTGCTCCCATTCGGGAAAGTGCATTTGTCAAGAAAGGAACAGCACGTGTTCCTGATTGCAGCAACATTGAAATGTTCTTTTTGTGTTTCTACGTTTAAAATGCTTTTATTTGAATGAGTACAACGCATACCATCAAATGCATAATTGACCCCACAAGTCCTCAATCCTCCAAAATCAATAGGGCAGTTTTGGAAGAACTTTGGAGGATTGAGGCTGAATGGCAAACAAGGGTGGCTCATTGTGAAGGATGTATTTTGTCAGTCTTGGGTTAAACCTTGTATTGTTTATGCTTAGCCATGTGTAAATTCAAGCCTTGATTATGCAAAAATGACATCATCCCTATGCCAGGATACCATTCACATTACCTCAACATAATGACAAAAATTGCTGGAAGATTGAGGCTGATGTGGCAATGCTCACCCTTCCAAGAAGTATATTCAAGAAATGATGCAGGATTTTGGAGGATTGAGGCTGAATGCATTTTTTGATAATTGGTGGATTTTGATGGATTGAGGATGATGCTCAGCAAAGAGGCCTTCAAGAATTTCATACCTTTTCTTCTCTAAGCTGTTCCTTTTCTTTCAATTTCTTTAAAGCTTTGGCAGACAGAGGAGTCTGTAAACAAGGGGGAAAAAAGGATCACCAAGTTCACACAGGGGAGATCAACCATAAACTTGCTACAACCATTTCACTTCTACTTCCTCCTGAATACAAGAGATTCTTTAAACCACAACCAATCATCCAATGGAATCCAACAACCAGAACAAAACACCTCTTTAACAGATCATACCAACAAAATCAAACACTCAGTGTGCACTGTTGGATTTCATGAGATCAAAGAGGTAAAAGGTGACATATACACAGATGCAAAATCATATTGAAATCGGAGGATTTGGGACTGTTAGGGATAGCCCTAACAGCCTAGGGCACTTTCAATAGACCAATGAAATGGTTAATTTCCATGCATTTGAAGTAATGGTGTGTGGACCTGGAGGTTCTGATTCTACCATACAGCATAATGACCAAGAATGAAACGTGACGGTGGTTTTGGACTGGAATAAAGGAGAATAGCACAATGACCAATAATGAAGTGTAGCCATGGTTTAGACTGATGGGGACATACACAGCACACCTTTTTGAGGGCCTTTCCAACTCCTCCAGGCATCAAGGGACTTCCTTTAGGTGCTGGTCCACCAGTAGAGCTCTCTGCCTCACTTGATGCTTCAGATGACTTGATGGTTCTTGGTTCATTCTCGTCTTCGTCGTTATCCCCATCCTCTAAGTCAGCATCGTAGCTGAGCTTACCCGCAGCAATGGTGTCATTGTGAGAGGACGTCATGCTGACATCCAGCTCAGACCAGACTTCTTGTGTCTCTGCATCTTTATCCTCAGACGCTGTGTGGCTCTGAGATGCAGGGGGTGACGTCGTCTCACTTGAGGCTTCTGGACACCTGCTTTCCAGCTGGGAAGAGGCAACACCTGAGGTCTTGATCTCTGCAGAGGAGGTTTTGCCGTCTAACTTCTCATCTGATTCCCTGATGCCATCGGATGTAACAGCTTTTGCCAGAGGTGAAGCCGGTGTCTGGATCTCAACTGCCAGTTGGCTACTTTCCATCGGGGCAGGTTCAGTATCTGCAGCAGTAACCTCTACAGACGAGGTTTTACCATTGCCGATCTCATCCAGTGATTCCTTGATGCCACTGGACAGATCTTCATCTTCATGGTCCAAGATATCAATGACATCGTCAGAGGTTGACACCTGGGGCTGCTGAGTTGTCTGAAGAAAGCTATCCAGAGACTTGGGTCTGGAGGACTGCGACCTCTTCGGAGTGGCAGAAGATGAGGTCTGCTTGCCAGATTCCGTGTCTTCACAGCTGGAAGTCACCTCTGGGTCCAAGTCGATCGTTTCAGCCCGCGAATTCTTGGGGGTCACGGGGGCGGCAGACACCTTCTTGGCAAAGAATTTTTTGGTGGGGTTCTCTGCTGGCTTCTTGGCACTCAACTTGACATCGCTACCCTTCAATTTAGTAGCCGGGGACTTATCGGTGCCTGACAACTTCCGTTTCTTTGACGGCAGAGGATCAGTAACTGACGACTTGTCACACTGGTTTGGGGATGGGGATGAAATTGGAGTGAAGGGAAGTCGAGCTGTAGAAAAAAAGAGGAATGTAAATCCTACAAAATTCAAGAGTTTCTATGCAATAAACATGGCCTTATTACCCTGGGAGCACCAGCTAGTATAGCTTCCATGTATATTTAATAAGCAAACTTTTCTCAAAAGTACCACAGGAAAAGTATAGCTAAAATCATCCAAAAGAACATCTGTGGATCTGCAATGTACATGTAGGTCATCTGTGCCAAGTTTGTATGATAGGTTTCCCAGATGGCCAATTCAATTCGACAGCCAGATTTTCCATGATGATCCCCACATGCCACCTGCGACACCCTCAGTCTAAACTTAAAACGGAAAGCACCTGAAGTGAAAAACCTTGCCACAAGACAGCTTCAGATCCCAAACTGTCAAACTTTGTGCAGGCTGCAAGAGGAAACACACAATATCCTGGGGGGATTTTGACAAGCGCTTGATTCAAGCAACCTACTGCTCACAACAGCAAATCTTTAGTACATATTTAAGCACGATGGAACAGTGCGTGACTGTCATAGTTGCTGGAATACAACTCAAGAAGTCTGTTGCTAAGCAGGTCTCCAGGATACGCCAGGTAGGTTCTTAATCAATATACTTCCTTCTCAGTTTAGAATTCGTGGAATACTGTACTATATCCATTGTTATGATTGTAACTCCCCCAAGCGAATATCCTGCACTGCTCCACAGTTTACTTCCGAATTGCCCACAAGGGTTCTAGCGCAGTGGGCAGCGCTGGGCGGCACCACCTGGTTCTGCAAATTTCCACCCGGCACTCAGGGTTGAAATTGGCTGTGCCACCCAGCACGGATTTTCCAAAAAATGAACTGAAATATTACTGAAAATCTAAATGTACATGTACCAATTCGATCGTATTTCAAGCAACAGAAAGCATTAAGAACTGTGCTCACTATGCTTTGTAATCCAAAAATTTACCCGGCACTAAAATGGTCCTAGCTAGAACACTGTTACCCACATTAAACTTTCTGTAAAAAATCATTAATCAAGTTTTTAATATAAATGTACACAGTTACTTTCAAACGAAATGATGAGAATTTATAACAATTCAGAAAAAACCTTTGTGTTACAGCAAGGTACTTGTTAACTGCTAACTTCACGTAATTTCAATGGTACAGACAGAATGGAAGGATGCACTTTGGGGCATTCAAACAAACACAAGTTTGCTTTATAGACAAAAAGTTCTTTAGAAAGTAACTGAATGCAAGTTTGGGAATGCCTGTGGTGAGAAATGCGGTCAGTTTGTACATAAAGATGAGTTTTAGCTGTAGGGGTAGCATACAAACGTGAAGCCAGGTGGCCACCCCAGCCGGGATATGAGTCACTTCTTTGTTAAATATCTCCACAGGAAATATGTGATTATCCATCAGATTACCCCCCCCCTCAATCTCTTTCTGAGTTTGTTGTTGGGATTCTCTGGGAGTCGCATGTACTTGCATTGTCAATGAACTTGTCAGCTGGACAGAATCTGAACAGTGGTTTTTCTCATCAGAAACTCAGTCTTGGTTGGTTGTGGAAGCCAAGCTGACCTTGCAAGAAAATCTCTCTAGTCTGCTTATTCAGTTTGCAAATGGCATCATGGTATCGTGAGCTGCCCAAGCACTGTTCAGTCAGAATTCATGACGACACTACAATGACCTTGGAGCTTTACAGCTCCCTGCTGAGACATTGTCATGTTTAGATCCAAAGTTCTACGGTATGTTTATCAATTGTTTCTTAATTGAAGGAGTTAAAATGCTCAAACTGTTCAAGTTGGTCACTGCTCATCCATATGTACGTGAAAATGACATACATTAAAACAAATTCTGAAGACATTCGGAGACTTCTGGCTAATGCCCCTTCCCAAATTCTTGCATGGTCTCTGGTCAGACCAAAATTCCAGAATTGATGTGGCGATGCATTTTTTTTGGGGGGGGGTTGGCTTTTAAGACTGGCAACGGATACGGAAATAAGTGGCATATTTTATGACAGAGCAAAGGCTAGTAGTAGCACGCCGCATGTCATGCCGCCATTGTTGTTGATCACCTGGCTGCAACTTTGTAACCTATCCATGGTCTACCATTTGTGTTCGACATCAATCACAGTACGAAGTCGTAACAGATATCACCGGGTACAAGCTACCCACAAATAAGTCTGGTTCCTTGAACAAATTGCCCCTCACACTTGTGGCTGGGAATCGGTCTACTCGCAATTATTCAATCGGAAAAAAAAAACATTGACGCGCACATTCAAAATTGAGGCACACGCTGACCAGAGACCGACTAATTTTTTGGGGGGCCTAAAATGCTTGTGTGTACCTGTACTGTGTTAACCTGACACCTGAGCCTGTTAACAAATTATGAATCCACCTGTATAGGTTGGTGCTCAAATGCATGTATAAATACATGCACAGGCAGTGGAAATTTGCCCAACAGCCCCTGCATTTGTGTATATGTGTATGTACATGTTTGCATAACTTTATAGCACCATTATGTTACCCTTCAACGGGAACAATTTAAAGTTGTCTAACTACTGGCTAAAGTTGAGACATAAACATCTAATTAGTGATTTGCAGGTGCTTTAATTGACAGTGATCTGTATTCTTTGAGATATTGTGTTTGCAATGCCAGCTCACCTTGTTTCAGCCTTTTTGTTGGAGGGCTCAAGAGGACCTTTTCAGATGTGGTAGCCATTCCTACACAAAGGAATTGGAAACAGAGAAATTGAGCTTCAGGGTTCACATATGCAATATGGACAAGGGTATCAAGAACACGTATTGGCATGTAGCTCAATGTTTTGACACTGACAGAGAACAAGAGGCAATAAGCCTTTGGCGAGTTAAATTTGAATAAAACCTGGTACACTGAGCTTTTTAACTTCACGTGAACATAATGGTTTGAATTCTCCATACTAAAGACACTGTCACTAATTACCTCGTGATTCATTTGGGGGCAATTTTTTGCACCAAGGCAGTGTTTTTAATAATGGATAAGAAGGGCATAAGGAACCAGTCCATTCCAGAGATGGTGGTCACTATGTAAAAGCTTGCCCAGATTCATGAGGTAGACATGTAGCAGTAACAGTGTCTTTAGTCTGGGGAATCCAACTTGTTGTTGTGCAATCAGATAACTCAGTGTACTCAGTTTCATTCAAATTTTACTTGCAAATTTAGTCTTGTGCTTCAAACTAAAATTTCACTTATATCAATGTCTGACCAGTGAATGGTTACAAGATGCTGGATAACAGGCTTCATTCATATTTGAATTGACAATTAAACTGGCTGAAGGAAATACGAAGGAGCTTCCTCCACTGGAGAATTTTCTGGATAGGCAGACAATGTAAAGGCAGAGTCAAGTCAAATGAATTCATAACTGATTTTCTCCTCTTAACTATTCAACTACAAAACACCTATTTGGATAGTCGATAATCGATTGACTATCTAAATATGTGAAAAAAAGCACAAAAAGGCAGTGGGTGCAAATGTAGCATTTAATATTCTGGTCACATCCTTATCAATGAGCACAAAACAACAATGAAACTCATTTCATTAAGTTATATACTTTAATATACATGTAAATCATAATTTTGGGAGATTTTTTTTAATTTAAGGAGGGAAAGCATGTTTGAGAAGTGATGCATGTGCAGTGCTGGCCAATTGCTGCCAGTTTTGCAACCTTGTGACCAGTTGATCATAACAGGAGAACTAAAACTTTAAGCACTGGCCTATACCATCAGGTCTGACCCTAAATAAAACCAACAGACTTCATTAATGAAAGATAAAAATTCCCACACTAACCAAGCCACCACATGGGCCAAATGGTTAACCCTAACCATTCTGAACCCAACAAGATTATGCAGGATTTCAATGGTCCCTAGGGGCTAGGGTTAAGAATACCTCAATGCAAAACCACGGTGGTTTCCCGCCAAGTTCAACTGTTGCACCACTTTCTGAATTTGATTTTCTTTCTTAAAGAGTGGAAATAATTATTCCATTTTTATATTATTTGATTAATTATTTTATAATTATCATATAAATAGTCATGACAGAAACCACAAAAAAAGGAGAGAAAAGACCACTTGCCGGTTTCTCTGAATCCATGATTATGATGGTTATTTAACTTGGGCCTACTGCAATACACGCATTCTTTTATTAGGCCCCAAAACAGTTGTGCTATGCCTCAAAAAAAAATAGGATCAGTAGGTCGGAAATTTTTTTTTTGTTTGGAGGGCAATTTGTTGTGCTGATTGAATGGCATCAATGGGGACGACAGCTTACAAAATTATCTCAAAAAGTAATTAACACCTGTCTTAACACTATGTAAAAATTTCTACATTCAGCAATGCACAAGAAAATTACAGACAATTCACACAGTGCTACTCAGGCAATCATGACAGCAAACTGGCCAACAATGTCCGTGTATAGCGTGGTAAGCATGCGTGATACATCCAGACCAGCGGGCAATAAACCTTGTGCCGCGGCAGGAAATTTGTAAAAACACACTTGCGAGCAAAACAACCTCAAATTAAACTCATGAACACAGAAAATGCATACATACATGTAAATAAGAGACCAAGTTCTGTGAATTAACTTGCAGAAAACCTCTTGCAACATCGATGCTTTTGTAGACCTGCAGCTTTAGGGTTGGCTGCAATATGCGATTATGCGTGCACTGCTGATGTAGAGTAATTAATCGACTGGAATGAATAGTACATATATAGACTGGTTCTAGTTGATCCATTTCCATCACGCATTTTTTGGCATGTGCGCGGCACGGCCGGGAACCAGAGCAGCTTTGTTTAATGCAGTGAGCTTTGCACACATGTTTTCCCCACTGCGACAGCAAATGTGAATGGGAACCTTCATGAAAGTTGGAAATTAATAGTATTAATTAATATTGTTAGCATTATTTACACCACTATGACATTTCAGTGACAAACAAGTGGTAAGGTTTGTCTACATTTGCAATATAATCGCCAATTTTTCTCCCCAGGTCAATGGAATAATAGTCAAAATTATAATTATTCGCTAATTGGCGAGAATGGAGAACGGCAGCTGGAACCCTGGTCAGGCTCTTGCAAGACAACTTAAACATGTTCATCTTAGTTCAATCAAACAGAAAGGCCTGACTCTAACACTGGGCATGAGCTTATTTATAGCCCCAGACAAGACCCAGTCTCACTCTGTATCCTTGGCCAGCCCTATGCCCAACCCCCCAAAAGCAGGGTGGACTTTGTGAAAAAGCTTCCTGTGACTATGACTGTGCGCCCCATTAACCATGTTAATAATATTAATGATATTATGCTCAATTGCAGAATACCCCGCCACCTCGCATGATCAACCCCATAGCCGGGTACAGGTCAAAGTATCACACTTTTCTCAAGGGATTTTCACCTTTTACCCATGTAACCAGTCAATCCATTCTGCAATATTACTCCCGATATTATTGGGTTACGGCTTCACTCACCTGACATACCTGATCTGGTCATTCATTAATTTAACATTTACTATTTAGGCCCATTCTACCATGGCAGAACTGTAGGGTCCAATGTCCGCCCCACTCCAATGAACGTTCGTGGGAGCGGGGCGGACAGACCCCACAGTTCTGGGGTAGGCCTAGGCATGGTAGGACTATTCTCCAACCTGCCATTGCCAACTGTTTCTGTCCATGAAATTTTGGTCTGAAACCATTTTGTTGCCTTAACACGGCCATTCGCGGTAGGCCTAGGCTAGTAGTAGTACTAGGCCTACATAGCCTACACAGAGATTCATTCCCGACATGCAGGATCCCTCATTTTCAGATTTTGTCCACATGTCATTTCTATGCAACCACCATGACCACATAGGGCCTACATCATGACACGACATAACTTCCATGAACAAACACACTAAATTATAGGCCTAGGCCCCATTTGCCGGGAGCACTACTTGACCAGTTGACTGTAATATGAGGCATGTCAAAAAACCTGTGACAACATTGTTATGACTTTGTGTGACGCATGAACAGTGAAGAAATTTCAGCATAGCGCATGTTCAGCACTGTTCAGTGTCAAAATGTCCATGCCATGGTCACGGAATTGGAATAGGCCTATCCCAAAAACTGTGGGGTCCGACGTCCGCTCGGCGTAGGAGAGGAGCGGACGTCGGACCCCACACGCACACTCCACAGTTCTCACTGTTATTCTGGGGGTAGAATGGGTCTCGGCCCATCGACACACATTTACAAACTTACCGGGGGAAGTTAAGGACCTCTTTTTTGATCCAACCCCACTGTCTCGGGCGTTTTCTCCAATCATACTAAATATTTGATGAAACTTTCAAAAGAAGGCTGAAAAATGATGTAAAATGGGACAAGGCAAACACGTTGAAAGTCCCCTATCCCCGTTCCCTGGTTAAACTTGGCGGGAAATGTTGGCACACTTCCCGTTCCGGCTAAACATGACAAGGGTATTTTGATTGGCCGATTATCTATGATAGCGCATGGTACGACCAATAGACACTGCTGGAAGAAATGATATTGCTTGAAAGTAAAGCCCGTTCGATTGGCTGCACCAGAGGAAAGTGACCTAAACAGCCAATAAATGACAGGTTTACATGAAAATCCTCTCGGTCTCAAGGAAGAACGTGAACTGCATGTTATTAAGCGATAGTTGCTGAGTGCGACGTAAACGCCTTCCGCCATGTCCGCTGTTCGCGAAGTCTGAGATTTGAGTTGTTTTACTTTTAGCGTTATTCATCCTAGAAATTTCTGATCGGTTGAAACGGAGTAATACTACAAAGCTTTTTATCGAGAAGAATACAATCAGAGTCGATCATGTCGTTCGCGGGACTCAAGAAGCAGTTTAATAAGGCCAATCAGGTTGGTTATTTTTTTAATCTGCATTTGTCAGCGTACGCAAAGGCCATTCACCGGTTGCGCTATTTCAATTCCACTTCCTTGCGAGTAGGCTAGCGGCCATTCATTTACCAGGGGTGAGATTTCTCAGCTTTTTAGCAAATTTCAGCCATTTTTGTTTTTGTGATTTCGGCGTTTTTTCCTCACTGGCTGTGTACTACAGTATAGGAGATTTTCACAGTTCAGCTTCTCTATCATGTCTAGGCCTATGCCTTTTTTCAGCTGTTTTCAAATTTCAGCTAGGTTTTATCATTGGTCAATCTCACCCTGATTTATGTTGCTTATATTTTTTCTCAGTTATGCAGTCAACATTACACATCCTGGTAAAAGTCTGTAGTACTAGTGCAACGATAGGCAATTGTCTGTGTTAATAAAGTAAAATGGGCTGGTCTAGTTACCATGGTTACCCCTCTAATTAGTAATGGGACTGTCCTTGTTCATGTTAGTGAGTGAGATAATCATGACAGTGTTGAACATGTTGACCTTGATGCATGATGCATGGGGGCCAGTCTACTCCCTCCGTATCCTAGGCCCCACAATGGTCAATCCAAAAAGTGGAGACTCTGCAAAAATGCCTTTTATGAAACCCTGTTTGCGTCTATGGCTCACTTAACCCATCAAATCACCGATGTATTTGTAGAAGTCCATGAAATCTTGGTTTCGATTTGAGCCATTCGTTTGCTACAGCGATTAACTCCTGATAGTTGACTGATGCCAAACACAGTCGTGCTGTGTATGATTTTCTTGTGTATAGTCGAATATAGAAATTTTTACATAGATTAAGTCAGGTGTTAATCACTTTTTGAGATAATTTTGGAAGCTGTCATCCCCATTGATGCCATTCAGTCAGCACAAAAAATTGCCCCCAAACAAAAAAATTCTGACCTACCGACCCTACTTTTTGGGAGGAGGCATAGCACAACTGTTTTGGGGCCTAATAAAAGACTGCGTGTGTTGCAGTAGGCCGAAGTTAAATAACTGTAATAATCGTGGATTCCAAGAAGTCTTGGGCAAATGTTGATCCCATTCGAGCAAGCAAATTTATGGCATGGCCTGCCCCATCGGGCAAACTAAAAGAAAAACAGATTGTCGCAGCCTGCGCCATAACAAGGATTGCTCAAACGGCTGCATGTTCAGTTCTGTATGGGACCACTAAACTTTCAGCAGGACCAGTGAAAATTTTGAAGTACTGGTCCTGCTGGCTACCAGGGAAAAAAGGGTTAATTTCGACCCCTGCAGCACTATTTCATTTGAGGCTTGTGTAATCTAGATCCCCCCAAAAATGTAAAAATAAAACATGAGCTAAAATTCAGTCTTTTCCCATGCTTTTTCCCCCATCAACCAAGTCCAAAATAGAAAATACGCTGCAGTAAAGTACATGTGCATGTACATGTATGCTGGGACTATGGTTTGGACATTTGGTTCAAATGCATCAACGCTGGCAGGCGGGTTCCCTTCTTTATAAATAATGAACCACAGCACCATATCTATCAACTTGTAACAAAATGAATACAGGGAGCCATACTTGTTCACCAGTGATCATGGTGATATATCATACATGTAATCAACCTCATTCCCATGTGGCGATTGTTAGCCACTCTCACTCTCGCATGAGGTTGACTTATACATGTATAATCGTTTTGGGGCTTGTGCTGCATGCTCACTGTTTCATCCAGAATGCAACGAAAAATAACAGATTTGTTCTCGAAGGCAAGGGCTGAGCTACATGTAATCCCTATTATTGACAATAATCAGCATAAAGCTTAGGTTTTTCTACCTTAATGATGGAAAAAAGTTGTCGAACTTTTCCGATGCCATGTTCAGAGTTGTGCACAAGAGCGAGCACGTGGCCTGCCTGTGGTGTACCTGGGTACGTGCACAGTCTGCATGTACACTCACTGTGCATGTATGACATATATTTTTCATCCACATTGAAGTCAAGTCTTGTACTCCATTTGTTTGTTCTTAGCCAAATTGCCGAAGGAAACATGCATGTAGGAATACTGGGATTCATTTTATATCATTATTTATTTTTGTTTGCTTATTACATAATAATCTGAATGTACTGTATTGCAAACAAAAATGCATAAAAACGTGTGTCAAGTACTGACCTGCATCCTTATCTGCACACCAGTTTTTCAAAAACAAAATAAAGTGGTTATGAGAAATCTGTTCCAAGGTGTTTGTCATTATTCGCTTCTTTGTTGCAGGGCTGTTTAATCACACTATACAAAACAACAATTGCTCGCAGTTTTACAATTTAATTTTTTCTAAAAGATGGGTTTTTTGTTTGAAAAGGCAAAACTCTCATGAAAAAATGTCAGAAATTCACCAGAGAGCATCTAAAATAGCCAGAGCTTCCAGGGCCCTTTCGCAGGCCCAGGATCCTGGCTGTAAGGGTCTTCGTGCTGCGCGCTCGTGTTGCATGCTTCAAGTTCACACACAAATTTTGGATTGCAATCCCACTTTTCAAATCCCAGCCTAAACACTGTGTTCAGTGGAACTAGAACTGATGGGATTCTGTTGACTGCGGTGTACCCCAAGGCACAGTCTTGGGCCCTTTTTATTTTTGCTTTATATCAAGGATATCACAGACAATCTTCAGTCAGAAATTTGTCTTTTTGCTGACGATTGCATTTTATAAAGAAATATCCACAACCGGGCTGATAGCATCATACTTCAGAAGATATTGACAACTCCATGAATAGGCCACTGCATGGCAAATGCAATTTAATATAAAGAAATGCTACGTCATGCATTTGGGAAACAAAAGGAAGAAGATTTATAACCTGAATAATCATTCTGTGGCAAATCTGTTGCCATGTACTGGAGAGAAAGAAGAAGTGTATTGTTTCGTATGGTACTCTTCATGAGAGGGAGACTACTGCAGTCCCTAAGGCCGTTTTCCTATACTCGACTTGGGCTCCGTCTCAGGCTTCAACAGTTTTTTTACTTCCTGACTTTGAAGTTGTAAGCGCAACATTAAGTCTGATAGTGCCACAAAACATCAAGTAAGATGCAAAAGAGCAAAACATTACAGTACTTTAATTTAAATTAAATGCTTGAGGCCCACAATCGGAGATTTGATTTCCTACACGGAGCCGGATATTATGCAAGTTAGTCCTTTTGCCTTTATATATAATAATGCTTGTTATTTCTCTTGAAAAGCACAGTTAAAAAAACAGCTTAGTGATAACCATGAACTCGTGACACCATGGACAACATCACACAAGTCCGTATCCGCCTGTGTACAGCCTCTTTTATAAACACACATCCTTAAAAACGTTGACCATGCTGACTGAAAAAACAAATGGTTGATAAATTGTAGAATCCTTCACATAGCCTCCAGGGACCTTGACTTTAGCCTGCTTGAGTGCACATGTTTCTTGATATTTAGGCTCTCACCCGTCTATGTGCATATAATTTGTTGGATAAATTTCAACCTGAAGTAAACTTCAATACATTTTAAAAGGAAATGTGGAGGAGACACGTGTAGATGAATTGCCATGCACTTGCTTTACAGGAATTGAACCTCTGTCCTTGTTCTATGTTAAAATGTATGTACATGGATGTAGTTTGTGGCGTGGTATAACTGCAGGGAATGTACAACATATGGCAAACAGTGTACAGCACACGGTTACTTTCAAATCAGGGAAGTACATGTACAAATATTCTATTATCAGGTCATGTTGGAATTTGTGTATATAGCTGACATTTAGGTCCGGGTCTTTTGTAAGCTGCAAATTACACTGGCATGTGCCGACAATAGGAACTGGCCTATAGCGTTGGAAGCCATTTTGTTCTCAACCCTTGCGACTGATTGGGGGAACCACATTAAAGAAATACCACCCTTTTATATTGATCATTTGTTTATTACAGCATCATCCATTTTTATTGTTAGAGTTCCTAGCAGGTTTTTTTGCCAAAGATTGCTAAAGATTCTTGGATTGGCACATTATGTAGATAATTTACTAACATTCTATTCAAAGTTCAAGTGCATATATTCTAACTCATCTGTTAGTCATCAGTGGGCAATTTACAGGCAAAGTCTGTCTTTTAGTCCTGTTTTACCTGTGCCAGCAGAAGTTAGCGCATTCACAGTCCCTTGCCGCCTGTAAGTATGACCTCTGACCTATGAGAAGGCTACTTTGCATATAGTGATCAATATGCATCTGCCCACACTCCTCATGATGTGTGATAGTGCATTAGGCCCAGCCAAAAAACACTTAGGTTTCTTGTACATTTTTAAATAAAAAGTAGGATTAGGAGGTGCTTTTTTCCTCTCCACTTTACTTTGGAACCCCCAAATAATGATTTTTTGTTTTAACAATATTTTTAAGAGTCAAAAAGTTAAGCATAATTTGTGGAATCTCAACATTCTATCTTTTTTATTCACTAAAACTGTTCTTTCTGAATAAAGTATGTTGTGTATTTGGACAATTTACTGTCAGCCAGAAACATTGTTATTTTCTTGTTGGACTTTAACCTCACAGTACAGAGACAATACTGCCATGTCAAGCTGTGTTCAAATCACTTAGCTGTGGCTTGAGATTACACACAGCTGTATGGGAAGTAGATAGGGCCACTTCATGTACCATAGACTCACAGCTGCAGACTTTGTCCCTGGGTAATTATCAGACTTCCACTTCCCCGTCTGCAGTCGCCCAGTCTTCTAACTTGATTATTTTTAGCCTTCCACTCTGCCCCAACCATTCAGTTTACAGAGCACACTTACTGCTGTGCTGTATTCTTTGGAAAGTGTCTGGTCCCCTTGTACTAGATTTTGAATCTCATCATGTCTTTCCGTGCTTTAAAGAAGCAGTACACCAAGGCTAATCAGGTAAGGTGTGAAGTCCTTGTAATGGGTTGGCAATAATGTAACTCTTCTCTGTGAAACCAAAGATTCCTTATGAGTGCGTACAAGTCACTCCGAACTTTGAAGACTCGAATTTTTGTGGACACACCCAAAGTACAATCCTAGCTTTATGGTAAAGTGCAGAGATGCAAATTATACAATATTCGTAATGCATAGAGGGTACAGGTGTATTTACATTTAAGAGGTTTTATCCTCTTTTAAGTTAAAGTTGTATTCAGTATTATTTAGTATACAATGAAATTTTCATGTATGTCCATTTATATAATGACTCCTGATGTAAAAGAACGCATGATGTACAGGTTATCCTTTTTTCCCGTATTATTTTGTTCTTGCAGGGAATATTTTGAAAACTCTCTCTCGGCATTTGAATGTAAAAACAATAGGACAAGCTTTTGAAAAGTTTGGTATCATTATGATGACTGAAAGTGAAATTTAAACACACAAATCTTCTGGGTTGGGCATTTATGAACACAACAATGAAATGAATTGAGGTGCAAATTTGGGAGTGTTGAGTTTAGAAAGGAATTTTTTAACTATGTAATATAATATTTCATAAAGTGTGGAGTGGACCAATATGTCAATGTGAAAGGTAACAAACTATATTATTTGCAAAAATCATGCTCACTTTATTTACATGTAAGTGTATTAAACAGCCTGAATACTACAAAAGTACAAAGTACAACTTGTAGTAAAATGTAGCACATGTATTCAGGGCTGTCGCTTGTAAGAGGACATGGCCTTATTGTTCTCTGAAGCCATAAAATACAGTAGATAAGATAATGTACTGTACAGCGCTCTGGTACTATGAATGCACAACTTTATTGTTCTCTGTACAAGTAACAATGGAGGATGGCCAAGCCAGAAGTACATGTAGTAATCTGTAGCGCTAGGTCCTTCAGGCTCAGACTACTGCTTAGCATTTTGTAGTACTGAGTAGTGTAAGCCAAACTTTATGCAGAGCTGTCAGGGTTAATGGCACCAATATCCAAGAAAACTGAGTTCCTCTGTAGAAGTTTTGGCCTCATTGCCCATGTTGTTAGCATTGGTGCCCCTTGAAATGTCCCATTTCCAGAGGCCAAAATGGCAGTGACCCCCAAAAATTGAAATTTGAGCCCTGTACATTTATTCCTAGCCTGAGGTAGGCATGCACAAGGCACATTTATACATGAGTATTTTGGCAAGTCTAGAGCGCACCCTATTTGCCAAAGAGGATTTTATCCAAACCCACGTCAACATTTTCGTAAGAATGACATCAGAAGGTTGTCAATTTTCACAAACTTGGGTGGGTACATTTCAGAACATGACAAGGCAACTTTTGGATCAACATAGTCATTAGACCTGGAGATATTGGTTATTTTTTCAAGGACAGGGCATTCAAATGAGAGCTTAATTTATCAGGTTAGTTATGAGGCACCTTTCAAGGATTTTGAGTATTTTTTGGTGACTTGAAACAAAGATCGCCAATCATAAATGGTTCATTCTCTCTTGAACCTTGCCCTCACAGGGAAATCTCCAATCAGCTGTGGACACAAGGTTCCTGACAGCATTACTGTGCATCTGTAGCCACATGTAGGTCACTGATAAAGCCTTGTGGCTCTTGGATTCACTATCACATACAATTAGAGGAAACGTCTCAACGGGACAATGGAGATAACAGTTTCCTTCATTTCTTGTATTTATTTGTTTAATTTTTTTGTATGTGATATCGTTTTACAAAGCAAGCTTCAGGGGAAACACTTTTCAATACCTCCCCCCCCAAAAAAAGGGAAACTATGTCACGACCTGAATACCGTTTCAATTTAGGAATCAAAACAATTGTTGTTATCTCTTGTTTTAATATTTCTCTGATTTAAAGCAGATGTTTAGAAGTTTGAAGTACAATACTCAGTGCACGTTTTTACAGATCGTATAACTTATTTCCTCAAAATCAGATTTAAAATCAGGTTTAGCGTGTACAACACAGCATGCGTAAGACACAGTCTGGTCAGTATTTGTCCTTAAAGTGCACAGTACATGTACGTACAGGTCTGTATGTGTGTGAAGTTGTCTATTGTTAGATGGAGTGATATTGATTTATGCACAGATGTATAGAAGAATCATGACAAGTGTACCATATACATGTAGGCCCCTACATGTCCAAACTACATGCAAATGTAGTATATAGACTTTTGGGGATAGTGTATCTTACCATTCTAATATTTACAGCAATTGTGTTTGGAATTCAGCAAGCGACCGTTGTCTGTTGGAATTAATTTTTCACGGCTAAACAGGGACTGAAAAGCCTACTTCAGCTGAAACATGTCCTGAAAATGTATGCCTGTGTAAGTCACAATAGTGAACATCTGAAGTAAAGATATACATATCCATGTACATTTGTATGGTGATCTGTTCTGGGAACTATGGCATTGATGTTCATCAGTCCCGGCAGCCAGGCAAATCCTGTTTAGATCATTGAGCAGTTCAGAGGTCAAGGAACTGTGAAAGTCTTAGGGTGAGACAGGTAGTGAGGCACTGAAAAAACAGAACGGTAAATGTAGTCTACCGCAGAGGGCAAGGGGAACACGCCACTGATGGAGAAACCATCTTTGAAACAAGCCTGGGCTCCATCCAAACAGACAGGGGAAAATATAGGTGCATACGGCCAAGGACCATGCTGAAATTTTCTGAACTAGAAAGATGGCTTGACAGCTACTGATACCTGTAAATATATTCCATGTAACAGGTTACTGACTAACGTTGCTCATTGCTTGGTAACACTGTTTGCTAAGCAGCTTTGTGACACTAGGCAGAGAACCAGATCTACACAGGTTGTCATGCATAGCTGCCAAGTTAATTGGGTACAGCTAAACACTGTCATTATTGAATGGATAAACAAGTCCGACCATGTTGCAGTTCATGAGAGGCTGTAGCAATTCTGAAAGTCGAATGGAATTGAGAGGTTTTTTACGTCTTACTCTTCAAGACTTGAAATACCATAAAACCTGGCCCTACAAGGCCTGACTGTGTCTTGCATTGAAATACCATAAAACCTGGCCCTACAAGGCCTGACTGTGTCTTGCATTAACCAAATGTTTACTTTAAACTTTTGTCTTCGTCTTGTCTTTTTTCGACAGTATATGAGCGAAAGGATAGGAGGGGCAGAAAAGACAAAGCCAAATGAGGACTTTGTGGAAATGGAACGGGTAAGATCACTTAGTCTGTACTCTCCCCATTTCAGCATACTTACAAAGTATTTTTGCAAATCGCTGCTATACATGTCCTAGTATATGAAGCTATATTGCATCACAAATCACTTTCCCCTGTTCTGAGTTGTGCTCTATGTCTCTTAAAGTATTGTTACAACTTCCTGAAAGATCTTTAATAGGTCATTGGCGTGATATCTAAAACTGATTTTACATTATATTTTTTCCACTCAGAAATCACTATAGCATGCATGCTGTAGTCATCAACATAAATGACCTTCCACCGGTGTTGTGACAATATGTCGTCGTGTGCCTGGCAAAAGGTCATAAGTGCGCTTACGGCATTTTACCTGGAAGCATGATCACAGCAGAAAAAATGTTCCCAGCAGAAGGGCGTAAGAAACAAACTCTCTTTATGTAGCAAAAACAGATGAAATTTACTCCAAAGTCAATACATGTTGTACAAAAAACAACCTTTGAACAGCTTATTAAATGACTTGGCAAATGTTGTTTTAACTTTTTGCACAGAAATCTTTAGATTTCATTAAAATAAAACAGTTGCATACATATGTCCTTTTGCGCGGAAAAGTTGTTTTTGCAGTGATCATGCTTCCCAGCAAAAGGGCGTAAGCGCTTACATCTTTCTTCCAGACACACGACAATTTTAATGGTACTTTTTTCAGTGAAGGAAAATCCCCAACAATGACTGTTGACCCCCTCAGAGGGTTTCAAAAGCTAACAGGGTTGTCCCTGAAGCAACTTCTATTGATAAATTCATGTCAGATCAGAAATCCATCGGTTATACTCCACTTACATGTATATTTACATGCACATCATGTACCTGGCACAGATCAGGAAGACATGTACATGTACGTGTATACCTTAATTGGAATCACAAATGCATAAACAACACTGAATACACTGGTCTGTCTTCATGGCCCAATTTTCCAAACAGGAAAAAAAAAATGTCAAACAGTATTGATGTTCTTACGTGTACATGTACATGTATGCCATTGAATGAGGACCAGTCCATTCAGCAAAGAGCCATTCTGTGTTGCATTTCGGTTTCATGGTAACCTTTGGGGTTTTAACAAAGGTTTGTTGTGACTGAATCATCATGTTTTTCCCCAAAGAAAGCCCCATTGTTGAACTGTTGTGAAAGCTACTCTCCACTGCAATGTACACAGTACATGTAGCTGTATCTATGAATGTGCCACAGTGTGCCTACTTATCGGTTTGCAAAAGCGAAGTCAGGCTTATTTACACATGCTTGTGTCATGCATGTACAATGCATCAATTTAGCACACTGCAAGCATGCTCAGTATTTATTTTATCAAGGGAAGGAAACAGGACAATCTCTGGCGATAAGGTCTCCATTGACAGACTTTGCTGTATAGTCATGGTCATCCTTGCGCCCTGACAATGGAGGTCATCTTTGCGTCCTGACAATGAAGACTCCAGTTACTGAGAACAAGTCAGGGAGACAAATGATCAGCCCTGATAGAAACCATTGTCCAGTGTAAGGATAAGTGGAAATACAGAGACCACAGTTTCAAAGGGACTTACGGCAGGTGGACAATTTGAGAATACCTATTGTGAATGGACAGTCATCTTCCAAAGCAATTCTATTGTGTGTGGGCCAGCAACACACAACCTAAAATCTGAACAGTTTGTTCAATTCAAATACCGCTACATACATGTATCCTGCAGTGTGAAACCTACAGGTGTGTGGTTTATCAAAATTCTGTCATTTAAGAAAAAGAAGGTTCTCCGGTAAAACTTGTCAAGCCACTTTCGCTTGACATTTTGTAACTAACCTTTAACCCTTAATGGTTGAGACGGGAATGTGGGATTACAAATTTCAAATAAGAGACAGTAAGTGTGAACTTAAAATCAGGTACTCATGTGATATACATGTACATGTATATGCTTTTGTACATGTGTTTGACAATACTTCCAAGGACAATGCTGGTGTCAACACAGTACATGTATACCAGTACATGAAGGAGTGGATGGTACATGTACATACATTATGTTCATGTACTCTGTACATGTGTCGTGTGGTTTGGATGAGTGTACAGTGTACGTGAGCTGGCTCATCAATGGCGCCATTGTGTATGTTAAGCTCCTCGCCTATTTAATGATCTTTGGAACATCTGTTATAATTGATCAAGGAATTACACCTGTTTTATTTATTGATGTATTTGAGCATCATATGTTTCTATGATCCTGATGTGTTAGCAAGGTCCACATAGCACCTCTGCTCACTCTGCATTCTTCCATTAATTTGTCCATTGCATCACAAACTGACATACAACATTTATCTTGTGTTCAAAGTCTATGGACGGTACGTCGCTTTTTGGTGCATCAAAACTGTCCCACACGTATCAGTCACTTCCGTTATGAAACCGACGAATCACTTGAATTCACATACATGTACCAAGCTAGCAATAGATATTTAGTATGCTTGAACAGTTTGCTGCGCATATCCAAGGGAATGCTCAGGCCTACAGGTACATGTACCCAGTATATGCAGGGATTCACTCAATAATTCAACATGTATGCGTGATATGTACACATACATGTACAATTGATATTGTGTTAATGCATGTGTGAGTCATTGAAGGTAGTGTATACTCAGCTTCAGCATGATTGATCTTCTTATGTGCATTAGAGGAACCCCCTACATTTTTGTACCTACACTGTACAATAGAGTGCCCCAGACAATGGTTTTGTTTTGCTTCATTTTGTTTGGTTTCTCATCAGTTGTTTCACATTACTTTATTTCATGTGATATTTGGGGGTTGGAACGGGGAGGAAAGTCGTCTCATGACTGCAGATTAAA